TCACAACAGTGTGAACCAGGGCTTACACATCACACAACATACAACATCATACACAACTGAATAGCAATCAGAATACAAATGCACTTACTGTCAATTAAATTGGGTTTCCTACTCCTTGGCTATCTGCAGAGCAGGATTAAGTTCCCATGGTAATCGGCCCTAGGCAGATTACCAGTTTGGGGCCCCCATGCGATAACACTGAGCACTGACCATTTGCATTAACACTGACTGCTGACCATTTGCAATAACACTGACCACTGACAATTTACATTAATACTGAGCGCTGACCATTTGCATTAACACTGAGCACTTACAATTATCATTACCACTGAGCACTGACTATTTGCATTACCTCTGAGCGCTAACCATTTTCATTACCTGTGAGCACTGACCATTTGCATTAGCACTGAGCGCTATTTGCATTATCACTGTGATGCAACCCCCCTAGAAACCACCCCCAACCAACTAACCAACTTCAAAAAAAAAGACTCTCCTAACTTCAAAAAAATAGGCACCCCCTATCTGCAAAAAAAAAATAGACCTCCTAACTTCAGAAAAAAAAGGCCCCCCTTAACTGCAAAAAAAAGGCCCGACTAACGGCAAAATTTTTTTAAAAATAGACCTCCTAACTTCAAAAAAAAAATAAATCCTAACTTGTTCTTACCTCAGTCCTCAGGCAGCAGCAGGCTCTGCACAGGCAAGCCTGTGACTCGTCCGATCACACCCGAGACTGAGAGGAGGAGTTGAGAGACAGAGAGAAGGAGGGGAGTTGGAGAGTGCGACGCACATTCCAAACATGCGCACTGCGGGCCGGACGAGTCGGCTGCTAGGCAGGACAGGCAGTGGCGGCAAAAACACCCAGTGGGCCAGATAAATGTCCTCGGTGGGCCGCATGTGGCCCGAGGGCCGTAGTTTGAAAACCCCTGCTCTGGAGTGTGGCCCTGGGGCGTGAGCTGGTAGGTGGGCCTGGTGGGGCAGGCAGGGCGGTTACCCTGCAGGAGAGGGTCGGGGATGCAGGGCCAGGAAAGGCAGGAAAAGCCCTCACACGCCATTCCAGAAACCCCTCTGGGCCACCCCAGAGGAGACTGGCTTCCTCCAGGGCCGCCTGGCCACCTGGGTGCCTCACTGTGGTTCCCAGTGAGTTCCCAGTGATGCGTTATCTCGCCAGCCTGTGTCCTCTGTGGGCAAACTCTCTGAGAAGAGCCCCCTGTCTACTCTGCAACCCTTGCTGTCACAGGGGGCTGCGTCCTCCAGACCCGGCCATGGATCCGTTTCCCAGGAGAAACTGAGGACAGGCATGTGGCCGTCTTAACCTACCCTGCAGTCCACCCTCACCCTCCGGTCACGGGGTCACGTGGGCCTCTGTCCTTTGGAAACAAACCCGTCGCCCCAGCCTGGCCTATCAGGGCATTCTGTCCCCGTGGCCAGAGGGCTTGGGAGAGGTATAATGCCACTGGGGCCCGATCCCAGGAGGGAGCCAAGCTGGCTTCCCGCCCCAGAGCGTGGGTTGTCGGAGGTGCCAGGTTCAGGCAGAGGGAGATAGTCTGAGCAAGGTGACGCCAACACCATGGAGGGCACAGCTGGGGCTGGGACTGGGACTGGGGCGGGGGTGGGAGCGGGGAGGGAGATAC